ATGGTGTCTTATGTTGCCAAAGAATTCACCATTTCGAGTCGAACACCAATGATTGAGCGATTTTAAACAATCTTGCTACGTTTTTGAGACAAAATAAATAATCACTACTCTCTACTTAATATAGACAGCAAAATGTATGAAAAAAAACTGATGTTATTTAGTCGTTCTACCTACGTAAAATATGAAGAAATAAATTATTTTTGAAAATGAACAGGTCGAAGGAGCATGGGGAGTGGTCAACCACACACACTCCCAGGTTAAACGATTTGTTCACTACTCCCAAACTGAAGAAAATTTCCGTTGTATATTTAAACAACAATGGTTAGAGGAGCCTGTTATTTCAGGTGATTGCCTCTACAGAAGCTAGAAGCAAAAAGACAAATAAAAATTTGCTGGCGTCACTGAAAGCCTGAGACGTTGAGGTTGCTCCACAATCGAGAGGAACGTGGATCTTGGAGAACAGTACGCCTCTGGTAGTTAGTTCGTAAACGTAATTTTAGAACAGAACAAAGTGAGAATTGCCGAACTAAAATAGAACCCTCTTGGTGCCAGTGAAATTTACCTGACAGTTTTGACACGTCAACTCTTCATACTCTTTCTTTGTACTTTTTGTGTAGGAAATGAAATAGAATTCAATTCAGTCTGAACACAGTTTCGAATAAAAGCGAAACAGTGCTGTTTTAATGGTATCATGGTGATAACATAAATGAAAAATTTGAGTATACAAGAAGTATTTTTCGGATTATGTTTCGTTTTCAGACCTGCAAATTCACACGGTTTATCGCACTGCTTAAGTGTTTACACAGTTTCTGCTTTCTACGAAACTTTCTCGATCAAGTCAATGTTCATGACGACAAAGTTTAGGAAATGAGAACATCCTCGTCATATCTTTGCTCACTAATATTTCCCAACACTGCCTCAAATAATAAGGTCTCTTGCTTCTATATTGAATTTAGATCAAAAGCTATCTGCTTTCCACTGTCTTATCAAGTTTTCCTCTAAAATCTTCAGTTTTGTTGAGAGAAAAAATTGCGATCTTATTATTTTATATTAATGAAACCGTCATCTTGTCAAGGTTCGTGAACCAAACTCCTAAATACGGACATCGCAACACGTCTATTGTCATGACAGTAACCAACTTTTTTTAAACAGCTTTTCCCTACAGGTTTTTCAAACAAAACTGTCTAGAAAACAAGTTGCTGTATTCAAACTAGGATCGATTTGAACAAAACACCAGAAATACAAAACAAACAATCTTTTATAAACGAATAACTTGCAGAGAAAAAGTCATTCTTTACTGATCACAGAAGCTCAGAAAAGCAGTGCCATACAAGATTGAAAGAAGATAGTTCAAGAAGGCAGAAGAAATTCGAGTATGTTCATCGATATCTGTGAAATCTGTAACACCTATAGACCGTTGTAATTTTTCATTTTCAATAGATTGTGGGAGCAATCTTTGACCAAAAATGACCTTTCTCTTTGTTTTGATGATTACCCTGTCAGCATCTTTGGCAAGCGCTGAGAAAATTGTTAGAGTGTGTTACTACACAAACTGGGCACAGTATCGAACAAGTCCAATGGAATACTTTCCAGAAAATGTAGATGTTTCATTATGTACCCATATTATTTATGCTTTTGCAAAGATTGAAAACCACGAATTGAAAAGTATTGAATGGAACGACGATAAAATGTTTAAGAAATTCAGAGAAATTCAACAGGTGAGTTATAGTACACTAAAGGATGGCATGTTGGTATTGAACGAGGTTGGAGAGAACAATGTCTTTTCTAAATCTAATTGCTAGAATTCAAGGATAAACCAGCGACTGTCGCTGAAGCCATATTCACTTAAATATTTAACCTTCCTTTTAAACGAAACAGGCTTCAATATATAGTTTGGCTATGAAATCTAGTCTTGTGAACTAAACCCAAAATCAGAACGAGTTTCAAGAAGAAAGATTGGTCACTTGTGGACTAAAAAGACCCGAAAAATATCTAGAACTATTTGCAACGATCCACCTGACAACTGTGACAAACAGCGTTAACTACCAGTTTTCAATTGTGTTGTTTGCTTTAGGGCAGACGGGGCACGAAAATCAAAAGCCGCAGATATGATTTGCCCTTCGCAAATTTTCGCATCAACACTAAATCATGCTAGTTGTTTTATATTTGTAGGCATATCCATCACTTAAGTTATTGTTGGCAGTTGGAGTCTGGAACCACGAGGCAGGTGCCATAAGCAGATTTTCCAACATGGTAAGTACACCAGAAACGAGACTGATATTTATCGAGTCTGCAATTAAATTCCTTCGACGAATTGGCTTCGATGGTCTTGACTTGGATTGGGAATACCCAGCGCATAGAGGTAATTCCCCGCCTGAAGATAGAGAGAGGTTCAGCTTACTTGTCGAAGAGCTCGTGGAAGCGTTCGCACAGGAATCGGAACTCTCCGGAAACGACCGACTATACCTTACAGCTGCAGTGGCAGCGCCCCTACTGAAAAAGTTACCAAGGCATATGAAGTGGCACGAATCAGCAAGAGCTTGGATTGGATCAATCTGATGACGTATGATTTGCATGGTAGTTGGGAGAAAATTACTGGACACCACACAGCAATGACAGGTATTGGAACATAATTCTAAGTTCTCATCATATTTTTAAAATGAATTACGATTGGCTTGAGGCAAATAAATTCCCACTCTTTGATGACCTACGTATTTTCAAATGAGTGCTATAATTCCATTCACCAGATTTCCTACTATTCCCATTTCGGAAACCAGCTTATGTCGAAATATTATTCATGTTCATCTTTCAGGCGATGATAAACTGATCGTAACAGATTCAGTTTAAATATTATTCATGTTCATCCTTCAGGTGATGATAAACTGACCGTACCAGATTCAGTTAAAAACTGGATAGAGAATGGAATGCCAGCCAACAAGATTGCGTTGGGAATGGGCCTCTATGGACGGGCGTTCAAACTAGTCTCAGCATCTAATCACGACATTGGTTCCGAAGCAGATGGAGTTCCCGTGAAAGGTCCGTATACAAAAGAAGCAGGCTTTTTGGCCTACTACGAGATTTGCTCTGACAAATCTTTGACGACCGTCGAAGAAAGCTCGGCTGGTGCATCGTACGCATACGCTGATGATGTATGGATTGGTTACGACACACCGAATAGTCTGCAAAGTAAAGTCGACTTAATCAAACAAGAAGGTAAGCATTTTACATAAACGAAAATCATTAAACCCAAAACCACACATCAGATGATTTCTACACAAGACAGTACCTGAAGATAATCTCGTAAGTTTGTCGTAAGGCTATAAGTAAGGTCAACACCATATGCACAATTATTTTGAACATTCGACTCCAACATGAACAGTAGAGAGACTTAATTAGAGATTTTAATGAGATGTAAATTATGGCAAAATAAATCGGCGATTTCGTTAGGTCTTCGAGGCGCGATGTTCTGGTCCCTCGATTTGGATGATTTCACAGGAAAATGTGGCGAGAAGAACCCATTGCTCACAAAGGTGACGAAGGAATTAGAAGGAGGGGTGTTTGTAGATTCTGAAGAGAAACCTACAGAGATGACTACAGACACGCCACCCAATGAAACATCAACTCCGAGTGAGGCAGTTGATACGACGCCTGTTGCCATATCACCCGGGGGGTCAAAAATAAAACCCGGATCATGTAAAGCGGTTGGGGAGTGGGCAGGTGATGACGGAATGGATGAATGGTGCAACAATAACTGCATCAGAGGATATTGTCCTAAAACTCGTTGTGTTTGTGAGTATGTCGATGGATTAAACACCATAAAAAACTTTCATCGTAAAGTTATCAATGCTGGATCAATTCAGAGTGAAGATGGATACAATGGAATCGCTCAAAATGACGTGTCCAATGACCAGTTGCACAACCTACAAAAGGAGAGTCAACGAGCGAAATTCAGAGAACACGAAGGTCGTAGATTGAATAATGATGAACAAGATATATACGATGCTGAACACGTGGTTTTAAACAAGGATAATAAATTAAATGGTCATGGATTGAACGAGGCACAAGAGGATATATACGATGCTTAACACGTGGTTTTAAAGAAGGGTAGTAAATTACATGTTTGTAAATGTAGATCGTCCAGGTTGGTATATCTTCAGATGACTACCGCTGACGGGTAATAAAAAGATGGCAGACTATCAATTACAGATAATAAATTAGATGGTCATGGATTGAACAAGGCACAAGAGGATATATATGGTGGTGAGGCTAAGAACGGAAGTAATACATTCAATCAAAAAAATGAAGGGGGAAATGGCGAGAGAATAAGTCCTGGGTCTTGCGAAGCAGCCCAACCGGGATTTTTTTCTCGACCGGGAATTTTTTTCTCGCAATAAATTTGCTTTACTGAACTACCATCCGCAAACAGATCGTTTTTCCGAAGAAAAAAGAAACTTGAATATCCAGTTTCATAAAAAGTATTGAGTCGATAACTCGCCTTTTTACTTTTTACGGAGCGAAAAATTTTTTGTCATTTTCATCGATGTTGTTAGTGCTTGAAATACTAAATGGTTGTCGTCTCGATATCAATAATTGAATATCCTTAAAGACTTTAATATGTTTTAAAGGAAAACCGCAGCTTAAGAGCAAATCGACTGTGTATGACAAAAATATATAGTAGCTATAAGATGTTTTCATTCTATATGTAAATTTTTTCGAATAAAAATTCATCCCAACAAATCCTTTTAATTTATTTGAAAAACGTAATAATACTTTTGCACTGAGGATAACGTAGAATTGAAATAAATATAGTTAAAAGATTTTCTTCGTGAAGATGAAACTGAGTAGTAAAATGAATCAAATGAGGTCAAACTAAAGATCTACGATCCGAAAAAATACAAATTGTTTATGAACACGCGAGAAACACGAGTGATCACGAATGACGACGACAAATATTTTTTTGGCTTCAGATATCATTCCAGTTATATTCCAGTAGTAATAGTAGTTTCGTATGGTCACACCTCCATGGGTGTCTCAGTTATATTCCAGTTATATTCCAGTTATATTCAGTTCACTGTGATAAACACGTGTTTCTCAACATTGGTTTGCTTTCTCAACGGAGATTTTTTCTTGACCACCTTTTTTCCGAAATGGCTTTCCTTGAGCAAATCCGTTTCCGTGGATCATCAGATAAACGTGGCTACTCAGTCGATGGCAGATTTTCGGAACGCTCCTCCAAGCCCGTGACAGTCATGAAGTGTATTACACTGGCAGAAAATTTGGAACCTCGCTCATTAAAAGACGAGACTAACTACTTTGGACGTCGTGGCGAAGCCAAGTATTTTTTTGAAGAAGCTGCTAAAGATATTGAAAGAAAACTCAAGCGAAGTGAAAAAGACACAGAAAACGAAAACATTCGCGAAAATGTTGGCGATCGAAGTGTCACGTTGGGTTCTGATGATTTGATCTATTCAAGTACAGACCGTGGTTTATTTTCGTCAATTTTGTTGGCTTATAATAATCATTGGAAACTGCGAACCTCTCCCGAAGATTGGTGGTTTGTTGTCATCAGAAACGTCGCCATCGCCATTGACGAACATTCAAAACATGAAAAAGTACGGAAGATGTTTGTTGAACACAAAGGTTGGCATGTATGAAAATACTCGTGAAGTCCGATTTTAGATATAGTGTTTATAAATGTACAGTACTGCTCTTGTCAAATGAATATTGAACAGGTTTTGGTCATGTGATTGACATGCTTATACGATTTTACATTGATAAATTATTGTTCTAGTTACGCCTCTGGTTTACCAGTAGAAACCATTAATTGAAACCCGACGTTTCGTCTGACAAACGCACGTTATCGCGGATTTCTAAGTTTGAATCAGCTCTTTCTTATATTATATGGTCAATTACCAAACTTCGCAAATCGCCTAAGGTATACAAATGTAATTTTCAGTTGCTATAGCAATTTATCATTGTAAAATCGTATAAACATGTTAATCACATGACAAAGCTGGGGGTAGATGGAACTTGTGTATCTGTCGCGGGTCGCGTGTAAAATGTCGCGGGTATAAAAAGCACTTTTTTGCATGGAAAAGTTTGAAAGAAGCCGTTGTTAAATTCTCGGGAATTCTTTAGTTCTTTTATGCCCACTTGAATGCGCTCTATGAATCAACGTTCTCTGCTGTCAACATTAAAATATATCACCCTTGCTTTGGATATTTAAGATTTGTGTTTGTTATAGCTATCCAAATATAGAAGACGAAACGTTGTTAATAAAAGAGGGATTATTATTAGTTTTTAGGGCAGTTAAAATTCCTATACAATTGAATTTACAGTTCATATAAATTATTAGACATGGTTTATTTGTATGTATAACTTGCACTTTCTCACGATTATAAATTTGCTTTTCTCTAGCAACAATGGGCCATAAGCACTAAAAGATTGTATCCAAGTAAATCTTGAATGGTTAGTGATGCTTGGTATTAATGAAAAGCTAACTATGTTTTCGATCGGGATTAGTGTATATATATTAATATTATATTTGGATACATAGAACAAACACACATTGCTCATGAGTCACGATTTTACGCAACACTAATCAGGTATTTCTGTCGACAACAGAGAACGTGTATCTTAAAGACCCTGGCTCTAAGTGTACTAGTCATAACAAATATCAACCATTAATTCAAGATTTATTTGGATACAATTCATGTAATGGATATAAAACATATTATTGCTAAGTAAAAGAAACTTGCCAGTCGTGCGCAAGGAAAAGTGGAAGCGGTTTTACTTATATAATCTATCCGTAGCTTATGAAATATGATCCTAAACGAAATGTGTTTACAAGTTGAAGTGGATGTACAGAGTTTTCAACGGTGATGTCCCCAAAATTTGCAGCCTCTAACTATAGATTTACATACTGGGTACATTGTGTGTATCATCAGTATAACTTACACTTTCCGTCTTTGGAAAGTTGCGTTTCCCTTATAAATAAAAGTAATTCAATTTCCAATGCATGCAAATTTTTACATTTGGCAATGATTTTCAATAGCTTCTGGGTGTCATGTTAACAACATATCTATAGTTACAGTAACTGCGTAAAAGCACTATTGATTAATGCGCATTTAATGAATACAAGTTTTTTTTTAAATAAACATAATAAGATGTTGAACCATGTTAATTTTAAAAAAACTTGTCGTTTTTACTTAATGCGCAATATCTATAGTTGTTCAGGAGTAATGCCTTGAATGGTTGGCAGTTGGTAAGTGCACAACTATATGCAAAATTATAACAATAAAGTACTTTTAAGTTTAAATCCAACTCATGTATATTTGGATAGGTAAAACAAACACAAACCCTAAATATCCAAACCACCGGTTACATATTTTAATGTTGACAGCAGAGAACGTTGATTCATAGAGCACATTAAAATGGGCATACATAGAAATAAAGAATTCCTTAGAATTTAACATCGACTTCTTTTAAACTTTACCATGCAAAAAAGTGTTTTTATACCTGCAACATTTTACCCGCTAACTGCGACTTCTTACCCGCGACAGTTAGACACACTCCAATGAAACACATAGCACCACCTCTTACTGTTCTCCCTGTCTTTACTTTCTTATGTATGTATGACCACTTGTGCAAGGCCCATTTATGAATGCCGTGCATGTGAAACTGAAGATTTTGATAGATCCATTGGTCACTCATAGTTGTATGGGATGTAAAGCCCTAAGACAGTTTTAAGATTGAAAATTTGGGCAAGTCTTCAATGTTAGTTGGTTGAAAAATACTAGTGAAAGAAATGACATGTCATTTAAAATCTGGTGAGCTTGGGAAATATTTACTGCCCTCCCCCCCCTCCAGAAACTATGGCTCAGATATGCTGTTATGTTTTATTGAATTAAAATACATGGAACGCTACCTGAAGCAAATAATTGAAGCGAAATCTTACATCATACACGCGAGATTTTACCCCAGACACGTAAGATTTTACTCCAGACATGCGAGATTTTACTCCAGAGACGTGAGATTTTACCCCAGACACATGTGTGTATTGTTTCGAGATTCTCTTGAAGAGTAATAATCGATTGACAGCATATGCGTGTCTGGGTTAAAATCACGGCTTCAAAACATTATTGGCATTTTGAATTACAGGTAGCGTTTCATGTATTTTAGTTCAATGGCCTGTTATGAACAAAAGATTTTTGTAAAAACACTTTCATTATTCATGAATTTTAAACAAATTTCAGGTAAGAAAACCTTGGACGTAAAAGTGAATTCTAATAATATCTATGATGTAAACTACTCTTCATTTTTTGATGCCATGTCACATGAAATATCAAAGAATGTCAAAGTTCCTGGTTATATATATCTGATAACTGCTGATTTCTCATCAAGCACACCAGTGCAAAAGATTGTATCGCAAATCGCTTTGATGTCTTCATTACAGGAGTTCTTTACATACAGGTGGCAACTTTTATGTATTTATTCCTGCAACTGGATTTTCACAGTCCTTGCAAAATATGCATGAGACAAATTGGTCACAATTTATACAATGCTTTATGTGATAACATGAATGATGAAACAGTTTCATTTTTATTGTTTTATAGAATGCGTTTAATGTGTGGCATACCAGCTGTTGAAATGCTTGGCACTGAGGAAGATTGGAGGAAACTTATTGGAAAACTAGATGCACTCCAAAATCTTCTTAAACCGATTGAGCATGAGTTGGGAATACCACAAGAATGGTGGAAACTGGCAGAAAATATATTTAAAAAACTGCTGGCAACTTACTGTGGTGAACCTGATTGCGAATGGTGGTCAAAAATTGTCAGCGAAGAAAACTTTGGTTCAGGAAAGCTGCGCTTTGCAGGATGGATCCCACGGTTCATGGAAAAAACAGAATATTCTGTACATAAAAATAGTTTTACAAGTGGACTTGTCACGGTACCGCTAACTCTTTCACATCCGTCAGGTTTAGCTGATGAGGCTGCGTTAGTTGCTGGATGTCTGGGTTATAACATTCACGAGAATGATGACAACATACCATCTGTACAGCCTTATCAAGGATGGTGTCTTATGTTGCCAAAGAATTCACCATTTCGAGCCGAACACCAATGATTGAGCGATTTTAAACAATCTTGCTACGTTTTTGAGACAAAATAAATAATCACTACTCTATTATTATAGACAGCAGAATGTATGAAAAAACTGATGTTATTTAGTCGTTCTACCGACGTAAAATATGAAAAATAAATTATTTTTGAAAATGAACAGGTCGAAGGAGCAGGGGGGGAGAGGTCAACCACACACACACCCAGCAGGATAAACGATTTGTTCACTACTCCCAAACTGAAGAAAATTTCCACTGTATATTTAAACGACAATGGTTAGAGGAGCCTGTTATTTCAGGTGATTGCCTCTACAGAAGCTAGAAGCAATAAGACCAATAAAAATTTGCTGGCGTCACCGAAATCCTGACACGTTGAGGTTGCTCCACAATCGAGAGGAACGTGAATCCCCCGAAAGAACAGTACGCCTCTGGAAGTTAAATCATAAACCTAGTTTTAGAACAGAACAAAGTGAGAATTGCCGAACTAAAATAGAACCCTTTTGGTGCCAGTGGAAGTTACCTGACAGTTTTGACACGTCAACTCTTCATACTCTTTCTTTGTAATTTTTGTGTAGGAAATTAAATAGAATTCAGAGTGAAGACGAATACAATGGAATCGCTCAAAATGACGTCTCCAATGACCAGTTGCACAACCTACTAAAGGAGAGTCAACGAGCGAAATTCAGAGAACACGAAGGTCGTAGATTGAATAATGATAAACAAGATATATACCATGCCTAAAACGCTTTTTTAAACAAGAGTAATAAATTAAATGGTCATGGTTTGAACGAGGCACAAGAGGATATATACGATGCTTAACACGTGGTTTTAAACAAGGGTAATAAATTAGATGGTCATGGTTTGAACGAGGCACAAGAGGATATATACGATGCTTAACACGTTGTTTTAAACAAGGGTAATAAATTACAAGATTGTAAATGTAGATCGTCCAGGTTGGTATATCTTCAGATGACTACCGCTGACAGGTAATAAAAAGATGGCAGACTGTCAATTACCAATGAACTCTACAACAACTGGAAGGCTAACTCATTATAAACAAACCTAGACTTTTTTGAAGCCACTTAGAAGCTGATTTGCCGCTTCGCGTATATCTCGCGTGGACTGTTTTATTTGCGTGACGGATTGTTTTGCAAAAACTGCTAACTTGGAAATAGAATGCTAGCCTAAATGCTTTATTTTTTTCAAAACCGTTAGCAAAATTTGGTTATTAATGTGTTAAGATGCATTGTGGACGTTCCCAGACATGTTTTGTATACGTAACGCTGTATTATATAAAACACAAAAGGGAGAACTTGCTTCGAAATATGAATTTCTCATTTGTCGTCGAAAGACCAAAAATTTAAGATAAAACTGATAACAGGTAGTCTGTATCTTTGAATGCTGTGCAAAATACACACAATCCACTTAACATAACATGTTTCATAACAATTTTATTGCTTTTAAAGTTAGACTTGCTTTGTAAGAATTTCACATGCTCTTTTTGTAATGTGTGAAAGTGATGATTTGAAATTTTGACTAGTGGGTGATTGTTGGTTTTTGTCATTTACTTCTCCCACTTCTTAAGAACTGGTAGAAGATTAGACATGCATCCATATTTGTGTATTGAGCATTTTATTAGCAAGTTCATGCTTATAAATAAATAGCCAAGTGTACAACATGACAAGTATTGCTAATATAACCTGCTCTACATAAAGGCCAAAAAGCAACCCTCATCCTCAGTGGTTTGAAACAGGGTTTTAAAATAAAGCAAGCAAAGCTATATCATGTATCAAAATTTTATAGTATATCATATTGATTGTAAAATTAGTTTTTTCTTGTAATACAGATGATGATAAATGCATATGTAATATATTAAATTTTAAGATGTGTGTTTAAAATGTTTGGTCATATTTGTGAAAATATATGATGATTCTATAATATTAGACTAATAATCTTTTTCATACTTGTATTACATTACAATTTTTACTTAAGTGTTTCAAAAGTTTGAATATGGAGTGTCAATTGTGTTTTTGTCTTTTTTTAAAGTGGGTTTTGACCCTTTTGTCTCTTTAATGGTGCAATTAATAATAACACAATAATATGGCATGACAGTTTTTTTGAAAACGAACTCAAAATATTTTTTGCTAACTTTTTGAAATATTTTGCAAAGTGTTTTTCTTTTTGTTTACGCTCTGAACTTTCAAAAAGGACTGGGGCGAGCTAATTTTGCACGGAAACACAAAAATTACCGAAAAACAGCGATTTTTGCCCTGACAGCTTCATTTTCACAGATTCAAACAATATTATAAGGCTAGACAAGTGCATTTTACATCCTTTTAATGAAAAAAAACGAGGGGTGTCAGTTTTGTATTCAATTTATAAGGCATGTTTTCACGTGCCAAAACAAAGTTCGCTTTTCATCCTTCTAAAAAGAAGCTTAAACATGTACAAATGTCGTTCAAACTTGTTTTATATTAAAGTCCAAACATTTTTTAAGATTTTTAGACATTAAGCTGGCTTGAAGACCACTGTTTTTTGCAAAAAATTCGGCAATTTCGAAGTGATGTATTTCGCCTCCGTACCTTCAATGGCGGCGCTCATGCAGGCTTCAAAAATGGCGTCCAAGTTAAGGCCAATTTACACTTCTTACGACATGTGTCGCGCGACACTCTGGCTTGTGCAATCTATGGGCACGCGCCATCCGACAGTCAAATAAAGCATTTATAGTAAACGCGACAACCCATGCGACAACCGCGCGAAATCTGCATACAAATTCAAAATTATGTTGACATTTACATCAAGTAGTGCATTGGCAGCATTGTTAAAATTCTTTGTGAATCAAATGAATTCATTTCTGCTAAAATGCTAGACAACCACGACACGCTAATGACAATAGCAGGTATAATTTTTTCGCCAGGATTGCCACTCTTCGAATTTAAACGCTTTTTGGCTTTCGTAAATCGGTCCCGTATTTTCTTCCATTTTTGTCTGCAAACAGCATCATTTGTTTCGAGCTTTTCGCAATTTCCTTCCATGAATTCGTAGTTTTTGTAGGTCTTTATAATCCCTTCTGGACGAGTCTTATATATATGAGGGTATTTCCTAACTTATTCCGCTAATCTTTCTTCGAATGCATCCATGATTTAATATTTTTCCATATTTGAGATAAACATATGCTGAGACAAACACAAATGACTAACCATGTGTTATTAGATAGCCAATTATCTTGCGCGACAATTCGACAAAATGTCTGTAACGTTACAACTTTTTGCGAGGCGCATGTGTGCGACAATACGGTGAAATTAAATGTGTGACTTAATAGCTCAGTGGTCAGAGTACTGCACCGGCTATGAAGCCACTGTGTGACTTCATAGCTCAGTGGTCAGAGTACTGCACCGGCACCGCAGAGGTCATGGGTTCGAATCCCGTTGAGTCACCTGATTTTTTCAGGTCCTGAGACGATTGCTTAAATTGTCCAGCTAAGTGCGAAGATCATATCTCATTTAATTTCAAAAAAACACCGCACTGCATAAAACATTCATAATACGGTGAAATTTTGTCAAATGTTACTTCCGTTTTGGTGATATGACGTCATATCCCTCATGCGACATGGCGCGCGACACTTGTCGCACGAAGTATAAATTAGCCTTTAGCCTTCCAGTTCATTGAGCTCTATAAGACCTGGAGGGGCAAAGGGGCCTGGGCCTCGTGGTCAAAAACATGGCGGTAATGGCGGATTTTGGTGGTCAAAACTTCCACTTTAAAAGTTTTTTTCAATATTCACTCCCTCCTGATTTCTAATACTGTTTGTATGAACGAAAACAAGTGAGAAAAAAAAACCAATTACGATACCGACAGCATATCATGTGAAAATAATGCTTCATCATGGCGCGTGAAAAACACAGTACACACACACATCAAAGTAAAGAAAATCGACGGTAGAGAAACGCATATTTTGGATGTAACATTTAAGTTATTTTATGACATTTTAACCTTTTAAAAGTGAAAATCAAACGGCATTCTTTACTAGACCTGTCAATCTTGTCAAACTTATACATTATTTCATGCTTTTGTGTGTTTGACTGTTTGTCAACAGTTTGGTGCACCTATTTTTCTTGCTTCAAATGGATAAATTTGTGTAAAAATGCTCCTAAGGAAGCGAGAAAATGTTTGCTTCAGTCCTACGACATAAGTCAACTAAAAATTTACCATGGTTAAGTATCATAAGTGTATTGTCATTACCTGATAAATCTACTGAAAACTCATAAAGAAAGTATGTTGAACTAGAACAGCTACAAAAAAGAAAAAAATTCAAAACACCATGACACTGTTGCTTGGTAATTTGTATTTTGTAAACAGCTTGGCAGAATCTTGGATCTATTACTGAACAGAACTACATTAATTTTCCATTGAAATTACAAACTTGGAAACTAAAGTGCATTGGTTTCTCTGACAAAAACACTGTCTATTGCTGCATGAAGGCAAAATAGTTATTTGACAGTGTAGGTGAAGAAATTTATCAAGTTCTATAGATATTATTGTGCATCACTTACAGTTTTGGAATTGTGTAATATATGTCATGAACAAGATATAATTTTTCAAAATGCTAACCCCTTCGAGCACTACTACTCTTCTGTTTTGCTTAAACAACTTACAGCTACCAATACTAATTATTTATATGTACAAACTAACATTTGGGAATTAAATGATAAACAACTTGTTAAATCTTTGTATTTTACATCAAGCCTTTGAATTAGTTCCTTTTATCTCTTGGTAAAAAATATTAATGAAAGACTTACAAATCAAGTTTCTCGAAAATAGTATTTTGTACAAAGAAACTAAATAATTGGAAAGGTCACATGTTGAAGACAGACTTTGCTTCTTTGACTAGGTTGCTTGACCATGAGCAAATTTAAATTTGTTTACAATTTGTTTAAAGAATCCTTTTTATTGATTTCTACTAATTCTTCATAAGACACAAAGAAGCCATCTATTTTGCTTCTTCTACATTCAACTTCATTGTAACCAATGCATCCGATGTGAATTTGTGGATCATCTGGAATCATACCAAGTATGGATTTGATGAGATGAGACAATAATATGTTTAATTTTTCATGCATATTAATGATACAATCATAAGCTACTGTTGAACAAAAATTTCAAGGTAGAAACAAATCTTAGCACATTGTTCAACACACTACTTTTATCTTAGTTTTGAAGTAGTAACCTGTTTACTATAACAATAAATATTTCATTTACAGAAACGCTAAGTAGTACTTTAAAATTGTTTGCATAAATCCAACTTTCCAATCCCATTATAATTGTCTACACTATACAGTCAGTCAAATTGAGCAGGCAAACAGTTTAGTTATTTTTATTATACAACATATACCATAGTTCTCATTAATTTTGCATGGCACTGCATTCAATTTCAACACAACTCTGTTGTAAACTTTCCCTTCATCTTTTCAAAAAAAACATGAACAAATTATGCCCCATTTTTGGGAGGTAAACTCAATTCAAATCAGGATGCAAAAGATGATAGAATCAGGATGATAGAAGATGGATGCAAAACTCGATAAAAATTGACAGCTTCGACACGTCTGGCGAGCGATTAAGTGAAGAACAAACAAGACTGGACCAAAATAACTTCAAATTAAAACTTAGTAGTAGAAACACTCTTCAAGTATCGTGTTAAAAACAAAATAGTAAAACTAATACTGTGCTACTTACCGGAGTCATGAAATGTTTCCTTTTCTGTCGCTATTTCAGCATCCGCAAACCACAGAAGTTGGCAATTTAATAAATAAATTTCAAAAAAGTGTTTATGTTAGGAAAATAAAAAGTTTTGATATTTTCTATACTCGCAATTGTGGTGGTCAAATCAGGGTGGGCGCCAAAAATTTTATTTCATGAGCCCGCGTCTCTCCGCTGACTTTGACCACCAAAATCCGCCATGTTTTTGACCACGCGGCCGCGCGCTAATAATTTATACAAATTTTGTTGACGTTTCCCCTCCAGTTATTATAGAACTCAATGTTCCAGTTGTTGTAGAGTTCACTGTCAATTACAGATAATAGATTAGATCGTCATGGATTGAACAAGGCACAAGAGGATATATACGGTGGTGAGGCAAAGAACGGAAGTAATACATTCAATCAAAAAAATGAAGGGGGAAATGGCGAGAGAATAAGTCCTGGGTCTTGCGAAGCAGCCCAACCGGGATTTTTTTCTCGACCGGGAATTTTTTTCTCGCAATAAATTTGCTTTACTGAACTACCATCCGCAAACAGATCGTTTTTCCGAAGAAAAAAGAAACTTGAATATCCAGTTTCATAAAAAGTATTGAGTGTATAACTCGCATTTTTACTTTTTACAGAGCGATTGTATTTTTCATCGACGTTGATAGTGCTTGAAATACTAAATGGTTGTCATCTCGATATCAATAATTGAATATCCTTAAAGACTTTAATATGTTTTAAAGGAAAACCGCAGCTTAAGAGCAAATCGACTGTGTATGACAAAAATATATAGTAGCTATAAGATGTTTTCATTCTATATGTAAATTTTTTCGAATAAAAATTCATCCCAACAAATCCTTTAAATTTATTTCAAAAACGTAATAATACTTTTGCACTGAGGATAACGTAGAATTGAAATAAATATAGTTAAAAGATTTTCTTCGTGAAGATGAAACTGAGTAGTAAAATGAATCAACTGAGGTCAAACTAAAGATCTACGATCGAAAAAATACAAATTGTTTATGAACACGCGAGAAACACGAGTGATCACGAATGACGACGACAAATATTTTTTTGGCTTCAGATATCATTCCAGCTATATTCCAGTAGTAATAGTAGTTTCGTATGGTCATACCTCCATGGGTGTCTCAGTTATATTCCAGTTATATTCCAGTTATATTCCAGTTATATTCAGTTCACTGTGATAAACACGTTTTCCTCAACTTTGGTTTGCTTTCTCAACGGAGATTTTTTCTCGACCACCTTTTTTCCGAAATGGCTTTCCTTGAGCAAATCCGTTTCCGTGGATCATCAGATAAATGTGGCTACTCAGTCGATGGCAGATTTTCGGAACGCTCCTCCAAGCCCGTGACAGTCATGAAGTGTATTACACTGGCAGAAAATTTGGAACCTCTTTCATTAGAAGACAAGACCTGCGTCTTAGGAAGTCGTGACAAAGCCAAATATATCTTTGAAGAATTTGCTAAAATTTTGGAAAGGAGGCTCAAACGAAATGAAAAAAACACAGAAAACGAAAACATTCGCGAAAATGTTGGCGATCGAAGTGTCACGTTGGGTTCTGATGATTTAATCTATTCAAGTACAGACCGTGGTTTATTTTCCTCGATTTTGTTAGCTTATAATAATCATTGGAAACTGCGAACGTCTCCCGAAGATTGGTGGTTTGTTGTCATCAGAAACGTCGCCATCGCCATTGACAAACATTCAAAACATGAAAATGTACGGAAGATGTTTGTTGAACACAAAGGTTGGCATGTATGAAAATACTTGTAAAGTCCAATTTTAGATATAGTGTTTATAAATGTACAGTACTGCTCTTTTCATATGAATATTGAACAGTTTTGGTCATGTGATTGACATGCTTATACGATTTTATATTGATAAATTATTGTTCTAGTTACGCCTCTGGTTTACCAGTAGAAACCATTAATTGAAACCCGACGTTTCGTCTGACAAACGCACGTTATCGCGGATTTCTAAGTTTGAATCAGCTCTTTCTTATATTATATGGTCAATTACCAAACTTTGCAAATCGCCTAAGGTATACAAATGTAATTTTCAGTTGCTACAGCATTTTATCATTGTAAAATCGTATAAACATGTTATCACATGACAAAGCTGGGGGTGGATGGAGCTTGTGTATCTGTCGCGGGTCGCGTGTAAAATGTCGCGGGTATAAAAAGCACTTTTTTGCATGGAAAAGTTTGAAAGAAGCCGTTGTTAAATTCTCGGGAATTCTTTAGTTCTTTTATGCCCACTTGAATGCGCTCTATGAATCAACGTTCTCCGCTGTCAACATTAAAATATGTCACCCTTGCTTTGGATATTTAAGATTTGTGTTTGTTATAGCTATCCAAATAAAGAAGACGAAGCGTTGTTAATAAAAGAGGAATTATTATTAGTTTTGAGGGCTGTTAAAATTCCTATACAATTGAATTTACAGTTCATATAAATTATTAGATTTGGTTTATTTGTATGTATAACTTGCACTTTCACGATTATAAATTTGCTTTTCTCTAGCAACAAAGGGCCATTAGCACTAAAAGATTGTATCCAAGTAAATCTTGAATGGTTAGTGATGCTTGGTATTAATGAAAAGCTAACTATGTTTTCGATAGTGATTAGTGTATATATATTAGTATTATATTTGGATACATAGAACAAACACACATTGCTCAAGAGTCACGATTTTACGCAACACTAATTGGGATTTCTGTCGACAACAGAGAACCTGAGAACGTGTATCTTATAGACCCTGGCTCTAAGTGTAGTAGTCATCACAAATATCAACCATTAATTCAAGATTTATTTGGATACAATTCATGTAATGGATATAGAACATATTATTGCTAGGTAAAAGAAACTTGCCAGTCGTGCGCAAGGAAAAATGGAAGCGGTTTTACTTATATAATCTATCCATAGCTTATGAAATATGATCCTAAACGAAATGTGTTTACAACTTGAAGTGGATGTACGGAGTTTTCAACGGTAACGTCCCCAAAATTTGCAGCCTCTAATTATAGGATTTACATACTGGGTACATTGTGTGTATCATCAGTATAACTTACACTTTCCGTCTTTGGAAAGTTGCGTTTCCCTTATAACTAAAAGTAATTCAATTTCCAATGCATGCAAATTTTTACATTTGGCAATGCTTTTCAATAGCTTCTGGGTGTCATGTTAACAACATATCTATAGTTACAGTAACTGCGTAAAAGCACTATTGATTAATGCGCATTTAATGAATACAAGTTTTTTTTTAAATAAACATGTTTCAACATCTCATGATGCCATTTTAATATAATAAAGGAGTATTTATTATACTGAAGATGGCATCATAAGATGTTGAAACATGTTAATTTTAAAAAAACTTGTCGTTTTTACTTAATGCGCAATATCTATAGTTGTTCAGGAGTAATTCCTTGAATGGTTGGCAGTTGGTAAGTGCACAACTATATGCAAAATTATAACAATAAAGTACTTTAAAGCTTAAATCCAACACATGTATATTTGGATAGGTATAGCAAACACAAATCTTAAATATCCAAACCACCGGTTACATATTTTAATGTTGACAGCAGAGAACGTTGATTCATAGAACACATTAAAATGGGCATACATAGAAATAAAGAATTCCTGAGAATTTAACATCGACTTCTTTTAAACTTTACCATGCAAAAAAGTGTTTTTATACCTGCAACATTTTACCTGCAACCTGCGACTTTTTACCTGCGACTTTTTACCCGCGACAGTTAGACACACTCTAATGGAACACATTGCACCACCTCTTAATGTTCTTCCTGTCTTCACTTTCTTATGTATGTATGACCACTTGTGCAAGGCCCATTTATGGATGCCGTGCATGTGAAACTGAAGATCTTGATAGATCTACTGTTTACTCATAGTTCTATGGGATGTAAAGCCCCAAGACAGTTTTAAGATTGAAAATTTGGGCAAGTCTTCAATGTTAGTTGGTTGAAAAATACTAGTGAAAGAAATGACATGTCATTTGAAATCTGGTGAACTTGGGAAATAATTACTGCCCTCCCCCCCTCCAGGACTATGGCTCAGATATGCTGTTATGTTTTATTGAATTAAAATACATGGAACGCCATCTGAAGCAAATAATTTAAGCGAAATCTTACATCATACACGCGAGATTTTACCCCAGACACGTGAGATTTTACCCCAGACATGCGAGATTTTACTCCAGACAAGTGAGATTTTACCCCAGACACGTGAGATTTTACCCCAGACACGTGAGATTTACCCCAGACACGCGAGATTTTACTCCAGACACGTGAGATTTTACCCCAGACACGCGAGATTTTACTCAAGACACGTGAGATTTTACCCCAGACACATGTGTGTAGTGTTTCGAGATTCTCTTGAAGAGTAATAATCGATTGATCGCACATGCGTGTCTGGGGTAAAATCACGGCTTCAAAAAATTATTGGCGTTTTGTATTACAGGTAGCGTTTCATGTATTTTAGTTCAATGGCCTGTTATGAACAAAAGATTTTTGTAAACGCACTTTCATTATCTATGAATTTAACAAATTTTAGGCAAGAAAGCATTGAATGTAGAAATGGATTCTAATAACATCTATGATGTAAACTACTCTTCATTTTTTGATGCCATGTCACATGAAATATCGAAGAATGTCAAAGTTCCTGGTTATATTGATCTGATAACTGCTGATTTCTCATCAAGCACACCAGTGCAAAAGATTGTATCGCAAATCACTTTGATGTCTTCATTACAGGAGTTCTTTGAATACAGGTGGCAACTTTTATGTATTTATTTCTGCTACAGGATTTTCACAGTCCTTGCAAAATATGCATAAGACAAATTGGTCACAATGTATACAATACCATATGTGATAACATGAATGATGAAACAGTTTCATTTTTATTGTTTTATAGAACGCGTTTATTCTGTGGCATACCAGCTGTTGAAATGCTTGGCACTGAGGAAGATTGGAGGAAACTTATTGAAAAACTAGATGCACTCCAAAATCTTCTTAAGCCGATTGAGCATGAGTTGTGTTTACCACAAAAATGGTGGAAACTGGCAGAAAATATATTTAAAAAACTGCTTGCAACTTACTGTGGTGAACCTGATTGTGAATGGTGGTCAAAAATTGTCAGCGAAGAAGACTTTGGTTCAGGAAGTTTGTGCTATTATGGATGGATGCCACGGTTCATGGAAAAAGTACCATATTCTGCAGGTATCGATACGTTTACAGGTGGACTTGTCACGGTACCGCTAACTCTTTCACATCCGTCAGGTTTAGCTGATAAGGCTGCGTTAGTTGCTGGATGTCTGGGTCATCAGCTTCACGAGAATGATGACAACATACCATCTGTACAGCCTTATCAAGGATGGTGTCTTATGTTGCCAAAGAATTCACCATTTCGAGCCGAACACCAATGATTGAGCGATTTTGAACAATCTTGCTACGTTTTTAAGACAAATAAAATAATCACTACTCTATTATTATAGACAGCAGAATGTATGAAAAAAAACTGATTTTATTTAGTCGTTCTACCGACGTAAAATATGAAGAAATATATTATTTTTCAAAATGAAGAGGTCGAAAGAGCATGGGGGGGAGGGGGAGAGGTCAACCACCCCCACCCCCAGGTTAAACGATTTGTTCACTACTCCCAAACTGAAGAAAATTTGCATTGTATATTTAAACAACAATGGTTAGAAGAGCCTGTTATTTCAGGTGATTGCCTCTACAGAAGCTACAAGCAATAAGACCAATAAAAATTTGCTGGCGTCACTGAAAGCCTGACACGTTGAGGTTGCTCAACAATCGAGAGGAACGTGAATCCCCCGAAAGAACAGTACGCCTCTGGAAGTTAAATCATAAACCTAGTTTTAGAACAGAACAAAGTGAGAATTGCCGAACTAAAATAGAACCCTTTTGGTGCCAGTGGAATTTACCTGACAGTTTTGACACGTCAACTCTTCATACTCTTTCTTTGTAATTTTTGTGTAGGAAATTAAATAGAATTCAATTCAGTCTGAACACAGTTTCGAATAAAAGCGAGACAGTACTCTTTTAATGGTATCTTGGTGATAACATAAATGAAAAATCAGAGTATACAAAAAGTATTTTCTCGGATTATGTTTCGTTTTCAGAACCTGCAAATTCACACGGTTTATCGCACTCCTTAAGTGTTTACACAGTTTCTGCTTTCTACGAAACTTTCTCGATCAAGTCAATGTTCATTACGACAAAGTTTAGGAAATGGGAACATCCTCGTCATATCTTTGCTCACTAATATTTCCTAACACTACCTCAAATAATAAGGTCTCTTGCTTCTATATTGAATTTAGATCAAAAGCTATCTGCTTTCCACTGTCTTATCAAGTTTTTTTCTAAAATCTTCAGTTTTGTTGAGAGAAAAAATTGCGATCTTACTATTATTTTATATTAATGAAACTGTCGTATTGTCAAGGTTCGTGAACCAAACTCTTAAATACGGACATCGCAACACGTCTATTGTCACAATAAAGTAACCAACTTTTTTTAAACAGCTTTTCCCTACAGGTTTTTCAAACAAAACTGTCTAGAAAACAAGTTGCTGTATTCAAACTAGGATCGATTTGAACAAAACACCAGAAATACAAAACAAACAATCTTTTTATAAACGAATAACTTGCAGAGAAAAAGTCATTCTTTACTGATCACAGAAGCTCAGAAAAGCAGTGCCATAATACAAGATTGAAAGAAGATAGTTCAATAAGACAGAAGAAATTCAAGTATGTTCATCGATATCTGTGAAATCTGTAACACCTATAGACCGTTGTAATTTTTCATTTTCAATAGATTGTGCGGTAGCCATCTTTGACCAAAAATGACCTTTCTCTATGTTTTGATGATTACCCTGTCAGCATCTTTGGCAAGCGCTGAGAAAATTGTTAGAGTGTGTTACTACACAAACTGGGCACAGTATCGAACAAGTCCAATGGAATACTTTCCAGAAAATGTAGATGTTTCATTATGTACCCATATTATTTATGCTTTTGCGAAGATTGAAAACCACGAATTGAAAAGTATTGAATGGAACGACGATAAAATGTTTAAGAAATTCAGAGAAATTCAACAGGTGAGTTACAGTACACTAAAGGATGGCATGTGGGTAATGAACGAGGTTGGAGAGAACAATGTCTTCTCTAAATCTAATTGCTAGAATTCAAGGATAAACCAGCGACTGTCGCTGAAGCCATATTCACTTAAATATTTAACCTTCCTTTTAAACGAAACAGGCTTCAATATATAGTTTGGCTATGAAATCTAGTCTTGTGAACTAAACCCAAAATCAGAACGAGTTTCAAGAAGAAAGATTGGTCACTTGTGGACTAAAAAGACCCGCAAAATATCTAGAACTATTTGCAACGATCCACCTGACAACTGTGACAAACAGTGTTAACTACCAGTTTTCAATTGTGTTGTTTGCTTTAGGGCAGACGGGGCACGAAAATCAAAAGCCGCAGATATGATTTGCACTTCGCAAATTTTCGCATCAACACTAAATCATGCTAGTTGTTTTATATTTGTAGGCATATCCATCACTTAAGTTATTGTTGGCAGTTGGAGGCTGGAACCACGAGGCAGGTGCCATAAGCAGATTTTCCAACATGGTAAGTACACCAGAAACGAGACTGATATTTATCGAGTCTGCAATTAAATTCCTTCGACGAATTGGCTTCGATGGTCTTGACTTGGATTGGGAATACCCAGCGCATAGAGGTAATTCCCCGCCTGAAGATAGAGAGAGGTTCAGCTTACTTGTCGAAGAGCTCGTGGAAGCGTTCGCACAGGAATCGGAACTCTCCGGAAACGACCGACTATACCTTACAGCTGCAGTGGCAGCCGCCCCTACTGAAAAAGTTACCAAGGCATATGAAGTGGCACGAATCAGCAAGAGCTTGGATTGGATCAATCTGATGACGTATGATTTGCATGGTAGTTGGGAGAAAATTACTGGACACCACACAGCAATGACAGGTATTGGAACATAATTCTAAGTTCTCATCATATTTTTAAAATGAATTACGATTGGCTTGAGGCAAATAAATTCCCACTCTTTGATGACCTACGTATTTTCAAATGAGTGCTATCATTCCATTCACCAGATTTCCTACTATTCCCATTTCGGAAACCAGCTTATGTCGAAATATTATTCATGTTCATCTTTCAGGCGATGATAAGCTGACCGCAACAGATTCAGTTCAAATATTATACATGTTCATCTTTCAGGCGATGATAAACTGACCGTAACAGATTCAGTTCAAATATTATTCATGTTCATCTTTCAGGCGATGATAAACTGACCGTAACAGATTCAGTTCAAATATTATTCATGTTCATCTTTCAGGCGATGATAAACTGACCGTAACAGATTCAGTTCAAATATTATACATGTTCATCTTTCAGGCGATGATAAACTGACCGTAACAGATTCAGTTCAAATATTATTCATGTTCATCTTTCAGGCGATGATAAACTGACCGTAACAGATTCAGTTTAAATATTATTCATGTTCATCTTTCAGGTGATGATAAACTGACCGTACCAGATTCAGTTAAAAACTGGATAGAGAATGGAATGCCAGCTAACAAGATTGCGTTGGGAATGGGCCTCTATGGACGGGCGTTCAAACTAGTCTCAGCATCTAATCACGACATTGGTTCCGAAGCAGATGGAGTTCCCGTGAAAGGTCCGTATACAAAAGAAGCAGGCTTTTTGGCCTACTACGAGATTTGCTCTGACAAATCTTTGACGACCGTCGAAGAAAGCTCGGCTGGTGCATCGTACGCATACGCTGATGATGTATGGATTGGTTACGACACACCGAATAGTCTGCAAAGTAAAGTCGACTTAATCAAACAAGAAGGTAAGCATTTTACATAAATGAAAATCATTAAAACCAAAACCACAAATCAGATGATTTCTACACAAGACAGTACCTGACGATAATCTCGTAAGTTTGTCGTAAGGCTATATGTAAAGTCAACACCATATGCACAATTATTTTGAACATTCGACTCCAACATGAACAGTAGAGAGACTTTATTAGAGATTTTAATGAGATGTAAATTATGGCAAAATAAATCGGCGATTTCGTTAGGTCTTCGAGGCGCGATGTTCTGGTCCCTCGATTTGGATGATTTCACAGGAAAATGTGGAGAGAAGAACCCATTGCTCACAAAGGTGACGAAGGAATTAGAAGGAGGGGTGTATGTAGATTCTGAAGAGAAACCTACAGAGATGACTACTGACACGCCACCTAATGAAACATCAACTCCGAGTGAGGCAGTTGATACGACGCCTGTTGCCATATCACCCGAGGGGTCAAAAATAAAACCCGGATCGTGTAAAGCGGTGGGGGAGTGGGCAGGTGATGACGGAATGGATGAATGGTGCAACAATAACTGCATCAGAGGATATTGTCCTAAAACTCGTTGTGTTTGTGAGTATGTCGATGGATTAAACACCATAAAAAACTTTCATCGTAAAGTTATCAATGCCGGATCAATTCAGAGTGAAGATGGATACAATGGAATCGCTCAAAATGACGTGTCCAATGACCAGTTGCATAACCTACAAAAGGAGAGTCAACGAGCGAAATTCAGAGAACACGAAGGTCGTAGATTGAATAATGATGAACAAGATATATACGATGCTGAACACGTGGTTTTAAACAAGGATAATAAATTAGATGGTCATGGATTGAACGAGGCACAAGAGGATATATACGATGCTTAACACGTGGTTTTAAAGAAGGGTAGTAAATTACATGTTTGTAAATGTAGATCGTCCAGGTTGGTATATCTTCAGATGACTACCGCTGACAGGTAATAAAAAGATGGCAGACTATTAAAAGACTATTAATTACAGGTAATAAATTAGATGGTCATGGATTGAACAAGGCACAAGAGGATATATACGGTGGTGAGGCTAAGAACGGAAGTAATACGTTCAATCAAAAAAATGAAGGGGGAAATGGCGAGAGAATAAGTCCTGGGTCTTGCGAAGCAGCCCAACCGGGATTTTTTTCTCGACCGGGAATTTTTTTCTCACAATAAATTTGCTTTACTGAACTACCATCCGCAAACAGATCGTTTTTCCGAAGAAAAAAGAAACTTGAATATCCAGTTTCATAAAAAGTATTGAGTCGATAACTCGCATTTTAACTTTTTACGGAGCGAAAAATTTTTTGTCATTTTCATCGATGTTGATAGTGCTTTAAATACTAAATGGTTGTCGTCTCGATACCAATAATGGAATATCCTTAAAGACTTTAATATGTTTTAAAGGAAAACCGCAGCGTAAGAGCAAATCGACTGTATATGACAAAAATATATAGTAGCTATAAGATGTTTTCATTCTATAGGTAAATTTTTTGGAATAAAAATTCATACCAACAAATCCTTTAAATTTATTTGAAAAACGTAATAATACTTTTGCACTGAGGATAACGTTGAATTGAAATAAATATAGTTAAAAGATTTTCTTCGTGAAGATGAAACTGAGTAGTAAAATGAATCAACTGAGGTCAAACTAAAGATCTACGATCCGAAAAAATACAAATTGTTTATGAACACGCGAGAAACACGAGTGATCACGAATGACGACGACAAATATTTTTTGGCTTCAATTTTTGGCTTCAGATATCATTCCAGTTATTTAGAGCTCAGTATTTAAATATCATTCCAGTTATTTAAATACTGAGCTCACTGTGATAAACACGTGTTTCTCAATTTTGGTTTGCTTTCTCAACGGAGATTTTTTCTTGACCAAATTTTTTCCGAAATGGCTTTCCTTAAGAAACTCCGTTTCCGTAGATCATCAGATAAACGTGGCTACTCAGTCGATGGCAGATTTTCGGAACGCTTCTCCAAGCCCGTGACAGTCATGAAGTGTATTACACTGGCAGAACTTTTGGAACCTCTTTCATTAAAAGACGAGACTAACGACTTAGGACGTCGTGGCGAAGCCAAGTATTTTTTTGAAGAAGTTGCTAAAAATTTTGAAAGGAAGCTCAAACGAAGTGAAAAAGACACAGAAAACGAAAACATTCGCGAAAATGTTGGCGATCGAAGTGTCACGTTGGGTTCTGACAAGGGTTGTCAAAAATTAATTGAGTTTCAATTAATTGCAATTATTTGTAACCAATTAATTGATTGGACAAAGCATCAATTAAAATTAATTGATTGGGCGCACCTCCAATTACAATTAATTGATTGGCATTAATTGATTGTATTTGTATTCTTGTTAGATTTCTAAATTTGTTTTTTTTGTAGGCCTACACTTTCGAAAAACTCGAATTATGCCATGTTGACATTACATTTTTTATTTTCTTCTTCGCTTTTTCATTCTTAATGGGAATCCGAAAACTTATAGAACCTAAATGTGTGGCCTATGACATAGAGAAAAAAGTTAAATATATTTACTGTTGCTATATACCTATTGCCTGTACAATAGACCTACCTATTTCTATACGATATTAGCGTTAGTGTGCGTTCTAGTACTAAAAAGATATGTAGACAAAGTATACAAGGGTTGTCAAAATTAATCGAGTTTCAATTAATTGCAATTATTTGTAACCAATTAATTGATTGGACAAAGCATCAATTAAAATTAATTGATTGGGCGCACCTCCAATTAAAATTAATTGATTGGGCAGACCAATTTAATTGCAATCAATTATTGACAACCCCTGGGTTCTGATGATTTGATCCATTCAAGTACAGACGTTGGTTTATTTTCGTCAATTTTGTTGGCTTATAATAATCACTGGAAACTGCGAACGTCTCCCGAAGATTGGTGGTTTGTTATCATCAGAAAGGTCGCCATCGCCATTGACAAACATTCAAAAGATGAAAAAGTACGGAAGATGTTTGTTGAACACGAAGGTTGGCATGTATAGAAATGTTTTAGATATAGTGTTTATAAATGTACAGTACTGCTCTTTTATATGAATATTGAACAGGTTTTGGTCATGTGATTGACATGCTTGTACGATTTTACATTGATAAACTGTTCTAGTTACGCCTCTGGTTTACCAGTAGAAACCATTAATTGAAACTCGACGTTTCGTCTGACAAACGCACGTTACATATTTTAATGTTGACAGCAGAGAACGTTGATTCATAGAGCACATTAAAATGGGCATACATAGAAATAAAGAATTCCTGAGAATTTAACATCGACTTCTTTTAAACTTTACCATGCAAAAAAGTGTTTTTATACCTGCAACATTTTACCCGCGACCTGCGACTTCTTACCCGCGACAGTTAGACACACTCAAATGGAACACATAGCACCACCTCTTAATGTTCTCCCTGTCTTTACTTTCTTATGTATGTATGACCACTTGTGCAAGGCCCATTTATGAATGCCGTGCATGTGAAACTGAAGATCTTGATAGATCTACTGTTTACTCATAGTTCTATGGGATGTAAAGCCCCAAGACAGTTTTAAGATTAAAAATTTGGGCAAGTCTTCAATGTTAGTTGGTTGAAAAATACTAGTGAAAGAAATGACATGTCATTTGAAATCTGGTGAGCTTGGGAAATATTTACTGCCCTCCCCCCCTCCAGAAACTATGGCTCAGATATGCTGTTATGTTTTATTGAACTAAAATACATGGAACGCTACCTGAAGCAAATAATTGAAGCGAAATCTTACATCAAACACACGAGATTTTGCCCCAGACACGTGAGATTTTACCCCAGACATGCGAGATTTTACCCCAGACACGTGAGATTTTACCCCAGACATGCGAGATTTTACCCCAGACACATGTGTGTATTGTTTCTCTTGAAGAGTAATAATCGATTGACAATACATGCGTGTCAGGGGTAAAATCACGGCTTCAAAAATTATTGGCGTTTTGTATTACAGGTAGCGTTTCATGTATTTTAGTTCAATGGCCTGTTATGAACAAAACACTTTTGTAAATGCACTTTCATAATCTATGAATTTAACAAATTTTAGGCAAGAAAGCATTGAATGTAGAAGTGGATTCTAATAATATCTATGATGTAAACTACTCTTCATTTTTTGATACCATGTCACATGAAATATCAAAGAATGTCAAAGTTCCTGGTTATGTTGATCTGATAACTGCTGATTTCTCATCAAGCACACCAGTGCAAAAGATCGTATCGCAAATCGCTTTGATGTCTTCATTACAGGAGTTCTTTGAATACAGGTGGCAACTTTTATGTATTTATTCCGGGACCTGGATTTTCACAGTCCTTGCAAAATATGCACGAGACAAATTGGTCACAATTTATACAATGCTTTATGTGATAACATGAATGATGAAACAGTTTCATTTTTATTGTTTTATAGAATGTGTTTAATGTGTGGCATACCAGCTGTTGAAATGCTTGGCACTGAGGAAGATTGGAGGAAACTTATTGAAAAACTAGATGCACTCCAAAATCTTCTTAAACCGATTGAGCTTGAGCTGTGTTTACCACAAAATTGGTGGAAACTGGCAGAAAATATATTTAAAAAACTGCTTGCAACTTACTGTGGTGAACCTGATTGCGAATGGTGGTCAAAAATTGTCAGCGAAGAAAACTTTGGTTCAGGATTTCGGCGCTATGAAGGATGGATCCCACGGTTCATGGAAAAAACAGAATATTCTGTACGTATCGATAAGTTTACAGGTGGACTTGTCACGGTACCGCTAACTCTTTCACATCCGTCAGGTTTAGCTGATGAGGCTGCGTTAGTTGCTGGATGTCTGGGTTATAACATTCACGAGAATGATGACAACATACCATCTGTACAGCCTTATCAAGGATGGTGTCTTATGTTGCCAAAGAATTCACCATTTCGAGTCGAACACCAATGATTGAGCGATTTTGAACAATCTTGCTACGTTTTTAAGACAAAATAAATAATCGCTACTCTCTACTTATTATAGACAGCAGAATGTATGAAAAAAAAACTGATGTTATTTAGTCGTTCTACCTACGTAAAATATGAAGAAATAAATTATTTTTGAAAATGAACAGGTCGAAGGAGCAGGGGGGGGAGAGGTCAACCACACACACTCCCAGGAGAAACGATTTGTTCACTACTCCCAAACTGAAGAAATTTTCCATTGTATATTTAAACAACAATGGTTAGAAGAGCCTGTTATTTCAGGTGATTGCCTTTACAGAAGCTACAAGCAATAAGACCAATAAAAATTTGCTGGCGTCACTGAAAGCCTGACACGTTAAGGTTGCTCCACAATCGAGAGGAACGTAAATCCCCCGAAAGAACAGTACGCCTCTGGTAGTTAGGTCATAAACCTAGTTTTAGAACAGAACAAAGTGAGAATTGCCGAACTAAAATAGAACCCTTTTTGGTGCCAGTGGAAGTTACCTGACAGTTTTGACACGTCAACTCTTCATACTCTTTCTTTGTAATTTTTGTGTAGGAAATGAAATAGAATTCAATTCAGAGTGAACACAGTTTCGAATAAAAGCGTAACAGTACTGTTTTAATGGTATCTTGGTGATGACATAAATGAAAAATTTGAGTATACAAGAAGTATTTTTCAGATCATGTTTCGCTTTCAGACCTGCAAATTCACACGGTTTATCGCACTGCTTAAGTGTTTACACAGTTTCTGCTTTCTACGAAACTTTCTCGATCAAGTCAATGTTCATTACGACAAAGTTTAGCGAATGGGAATATCCTGTCATATCTTTGCTCACTAATATTTCATAACACTACCTCAAATAATAAGGTCTCTTGCTTCTATATTGAATTTAGATCAAAAGCTATCTGCTTTCCACTGTCTTATCAAGTTTTTCTCTAAAATCTTCAGTTTTGTTGAGAGAAAAAATTGCGATCTTATTATTATTTTATATTAATGAAACTGTCGTCTTTTCAAGGTTCGTGGACCAAATTCCTAAATACGGACATCGCAACACGTCTATTGTCACGACAGAGTAACCAACGTTTTTTAAACAGCTTTTCTCTACAGGTTTTTCAAACAAAACTGTCTAGAAAACAAGTTGCTGTATTCAAACTAGGATCGATTTGAACAAAACACCAGAAATACAAAACAAACAATCTTTTTATAAACGAATAACTTGCAGAGAAAAAGTCATTCTTTATTGATCACCGAAGCCCAGAAAAGCAGTGCCATACAAGATTGAAAGAAGATAGTTCAAGAAGACAGAAGAAATTCAAGTATGTTCATCGATATCTGTGAAATCTGTAACACCTATAGACCGTTGTAATTTTTCATTTATTAATAGATTGTGGGAGCCATCTTTGACCAAAATGAACTTTCTCTATGTTTTGATGATTACCCTGTCAGCATCTTTGGCAAGAGCTGAGAAAATTGTTAGAGTGTGTTACTACACAAACTGGGCACAGTATCGAACAAGTCCAATGGAATACTTTCCAGAAAATATCGATGTTTCATTATGTACCCATATTATTTATGCTTTTGCAAAGATTGAAAACCATGAATTGAAAAGTATTGAATGGAACGACGATAAAATGTTTAAGAAATTCAGAGAAATTCAACAGGTGAGTTACAGTACACTAAAGGATGGCATGTGGGTAATGAACGAGGTTAGAGAGAACAATGTCTTCCCTAAATCTAATTGCTAGAATTCAAGGATAAACCAGAGACTGTCACTGAAGCCATATTCACTTAAATATTTAACCTTCCTTTTAAACGAAACAGGCTTCAATATATAGTTTGGCCATGAAATCTAGTCTTGTGAACTAAACCCAAAATCAGAACGAGTTTCAAGAAGAAAGATTGGTCACTTGTGGACTAAAAGTCCCGCAAAATATCTAGAACTATTTGCAACGATCCACCTGACAACTGTGACAAACAGTGTTAACTACCAGTTTTCAATTGTGTTCTTTGCTTTAGAGCAGACGGGGCACGAAAATCAAAAGCCGCAGATATGATTTGCCCTTCGCAAATTTTCGCATCAACACTAAATCATGCTAGTTGTTTTATATTTGTAGGCGTATCCATCACTTAAGTTATTGTTGGCAGTTGGAGGCTGGAACCACGAGGCAGGTGCCATAAGCAAATTTTCCAACATGGTAAGTACACCAGAAACAAGACTGATATTTATCGAGTCTGCAATTAAATTCCTTCGACGAATTGGCTTCGATGGTCTTGACTTGGATTGGGAATACCCAGCGCATAGAGGTAATTCTCCGCCTGAAGATAGGGAGAGGTTCAGCTTACTTGTCGAAGAGCTCGTGGAAGCGTTCGCACAGGAATCGGAACTCTCCGGAAACGACCGACTATACCTTACAGCTGCAGTGGCAGCCGCCCCTACTGAAAAAGTTACCAAGGCATACGAAGTGGCACGAATCAGCAAGAGCTTGGATTGGATCAATCTGATGACGTATGATTTGCATGGTAGTTGGGAGAAAATTACTGGACACCACACAGCAATGACAGGTATTGGAACATAATTCTAAGTTCTCATCATATTTTTAAAATGAATTACCATTGGCTTGAGGCAAATAAATACCCACTCTTTGATGACCTACGTATTTTCAAATGAGTGCTATAATTCCATTCACCAGATTTCCTACTATTCCCATTTCGGAAACCAGTTTATGTCGAAATATTATTCATGTTCATCTTTCAGGCGATGATAAACTGACCGTAACAGATTCAGTTCAAATATTATTCATGTTCATCTTTCAGGCGATGATAAACTGACCGTAACAGATTCAGTTCAAATATTATTCATGTTCATCTTTCAGGCGATGATAAACTGACCGTAACAGATTCAGTTCAAATATTATTCATGTTCATCTTTCAGGCGATGATAAACTGACCGTAACAGATTCAGTTTAAATATTATTCATGTTCATCTTTCAGGTGATGATAAACTGACCGTACCAGATTCAGTTAAAACTGGATAGAGAATGGAATGCCAGCCAACAAGATTGCGTTGGGAATGGGCCTCTATGGACGGGCGTTCAAACTAGTCTCAGCATCTAATCACGACATTGGTTCCGAAGCAGATGGAGTTCCCGTGAAAGGTCCGTATACAAAAGAAGCAGGCTTTTTGGCCTACTACGAGATTTGCTCTGACAAATCTTTGACGACCGTCGAAGAAAGCTCGGCTGGTGCATCGTACGCATACGCTGATGATGTATGGATTGGTTACGACACACCGAATAGTCTGCAAAGTAAAGTCGACTTAATCAAACAAGAAGGTAAGCATTTTACATAAACGAAAATCATTAAACCCAAAACCACACATCAGATGATTTCTACACAAGACAGTACCTGAAGATAATCTCGTAAGTTTGTCGTAAGGCTATAAGTAAGGTCAACACCATATGCACAATTATTTTGAACATTCGACTCCAACATGAACAGTAGAGAGACTTAATTAGAGATTTTAATGAGATGTAAATTATGGCAAAATAAATCGGCGATTTCGTTAGGTCTTCGAGGCGCGATGTTCTGGTCCCTCGATTTGGATGATTTCACAGGAAAATGTGGCGAGAAGAACCCATTGCTCACAAAGGTGACAAAGGAATTAGAAGGAGGGGTGTTTGTAGATTCTGAAGAGAAACCTACAGAGATCACTACAGACACGCCACCAAATGAAACATCAACTCCGAGTGAGGCAGTTGATACGACGCCTGTTGCCATATCACCCGAGGGGTCAAAAATAAAACCCGGATCGTGTAAAGCGGTGGGGGAGTGGGCAGGTGATGACGCAATGGATGAATGGTGCAACAATAACTGCATCAGAGGATATTGTCCTAAAACTCGTTGTGTTTGTGAGCATGTCGATGGATTAAACACCATAAACAACTTTCATCGTAAAGTTATCAATGCCGGATCAATTCAGAGTGAAGATGGACACAATGAAATCGCTCAAAATGACGTGTCCAATGACCAGTTGCACAACCTACTAAAGGAGAGTCTACGAGTGAAATTCAGAGAGCACGAAGGTCTTAGATTGAATAATGAAGAACAAGATACACACGAGGCTGAACACGTTGTTTTAAACAAAGGACAGCCAAAGAACGGAAGTAATACATACAACGATGGTGAGGCAAAGAACGGAAGTAATACATTCAATCAAAAAGATGAAGGGGGAAATGTCGAGAGAGTAAGTCCTGGGTCTTGCGAAGCAGCCCAACCCTGGAGCAAATATGCTGAATTCATCAAAAAATGGTGTAACGATAATTGTATTCATGGTCTCTGTCCACCATCTCGTTGCATATGTCAAAAAATCAACGAAAGCGATGATTACAGGCCTGTGAAGAAGAATGTTCTGAATTTATGAGTTTAACATCGAAATCACCCTTATGGACGCAAGCCACGTAGTCTGTGGATGTTTGAACAATATACTGAACATTTTACCATTTATCGTCACAGTAATTGTTTGCTTCATATACTTCATGTTTAAGAAATTAAATATGTGTATTGTGTTTGCACAATTACTTCATGTTTTAGAAATAAAAGATGTTTACTGTGTTTGTACTAATACTTCATGTTTTAGAAATAAAAGATGTGTATTGTGTTTGGACCAAAATTGATTTCGTTGATTGAGCTCATATCGATTTGCTAGTAATGACAGGCTGATATGCAAACTCAGGTGTAGACCAATCTAGTGAAATAAAATGACTTTATAAAAATACCTGTTGTCCCCAAGAATTCCATGATAAAATTCATCAGAAAATAGACACCTCAAGTTTAATTGACACATCTTTATTTCTGATCTCAGAAAATTATTATTAATGCAAATTTTACCATAGATACACAATTCAATCATAAAATGCACAATTTGTTATAACTCGTGTGTATGCTAGTGCGAAATTGATGCTGACTTTCATGAAATACTATATATGATGATAAAAGAAGGTTATGGTAAATACAATGTTTTAAAATTAGAGAGTTTATAAGTATGACTTCCTATAACAATACCAATACAAATTCCAAAATATGTGATGCGTTTTGCTTACAAAAACGAGTATTGATGTTGCCACTACCGAGAGCAGGTAGTCT